CTCTCCCGTCTCCCATGATTTTCCAAAGATAATAGCTAGAGGCTCAGATACCTCCTCAAATATTCTAGGATGCATTTCATCAGACCCTGGTGATAAATTAATGGAGATGTCCTATCTCCTAGAGCTGGAAGGGACCTTGAAAGGTCATGGAGTCCAGCCCGCTGCCTTCACTAGCAGGACCAAGTACTGATTTTGCCCCAGATGCTTAAGTGGCCCCCCTCAAGGATCGAACTCACAACCCTGGGTTTAGCAGGCCAATGCTCAAACCACTGAGCTATCCCTCCATCCTCAACCATCTTAGCTGAAACTTTCCCCAAAGATTCAGTCTGTGGCAGACACCCACTATGTGAAACTTCAGCCAAAACCGTTAGGTTGTTAAAGTTGTAACCAACTGAAAATAGGGTCTTACAATGGGAAGTGATGGGCAACCTTAATAATAGGCAGCGCTAGTGGCCCACTTTCATACCCACCCAACTAAACGTAAGCTGGGCCTCGAAGGTTCTCCCTGAACCCCCAGATGGGGAGCACCGCGCCCCTTCCTGTGCTGGCGCGGCTCTCACTGACATTCAACATGCTCAAAGATGCCCCAATGTCCCACCCACCACAAACTGGTTTTCTTGCCGCCAAGAGAGTGGTGCTGGAGACGCACTGCCAGGCTGTCTGGGCATAAATCCCCCTGCTCCTGCCCGTGCTGTGCCTGGCAGAGAGCTCTGGGAGTTGCTTTTGGTCCGTGCCCTGGTCCTCAGCCCTTCAGCCCCCTCAGACTCATCCTAGAGGTGGGAGGCCCTTACCAAAGAAGTTGGTTTCAAAGTCCCAGCGCGACGCCTGCCCAAGGCCGGCAGCCGTGAGGCCCTGGATTGTCACCGAGTAGTTGGTCCCGTGTCTCCAGGGCTGCAGCAGGTACTTGTTAACGGACTGATTCACCCGCAGCTCCTCGACCTCGAGGAAATCGCTGTCGTACTCTCTCCTGGCCGTGATGTTCAGCTAGAGAAAGGAAGGCAGCTCTGGAGAGGAGCGGTTCTGACCCCCAGCCCCGCCTGATACATAGGGCACAAGCCCCACGCTGCTGGGCATTGTCTGAGCTCCCCTGTGCCAGCAGGGACTTCACCCCCCTCCCACTCCCAGCACGGCAGAGCTGCCCAGCCCAGCAGCACCGGGGAATTTCTCCTTCCTCTGCGGGAGCTGGCACGGCACCTGGGCAGCAGGACGGGCACCGCTCAGGTACGGTGAATGCCCAGGGCCTCTCCCCCTTGCAAGGGATCCCCCATTTGTCAGTGTCCCCCGGGGAAGTGCTGGGCTGGACCGGGGTCAATGTTACCCAGGAGCCGCCGGCCCAGAACCCTCCCGCACCGGCTCTGGCTCGGGGCTGTTATCGTTTTCGCTGTGTTTAGCTGGGCCCCCCAGCCCCCCAGGCCCAGCCCCCGAGGAGCCGACCACAGCCCCACAGGTGCTGACGGGGCCGAGTGCAAACAAAGCGCTGCTGAACGGGTGCTTGTCTTTCCGTTCAGAATACAGTGCCCGACCCAGGTCCCGAGCTCGCCCGGCCAGCCAGCGGCACATACCGAACACCCACAGCCCGGCCCTGGCTGTACCCAGCCCAGGGGAAGAAAGGAGCCCAGACTGTTGTGACCGGAGGTGGGAGGGGATCCCAGAGCCAGAGGGCCCTGCCAGAGATCATCCGGCCAGCGGAGAGGAAAACTCAGAGCCGAGCGTCACCTGCAGGCTGCTGCTCCCTCGCCCCCACCAGCCTCCCGGGGAGGCAGGCAGGGAACCCCACCCGAGTGCCCCTGGGCTACGAGCCATTTACCCTCTGGGGGCTCCCAGCAGGGACCGCCGAGCCAGCCCAGCAACCCCTGAGGAGCCAGCAGCAGGGGAGGCAGCCAGACATCGAGGGGCACCCGCGTGGCCCCGGGCGCTGCCATTGCTACGGGACCCTCAGTCACCACAACAAGGGCCGGCTCTGCTCCGAACACTGGCCTGGACCCGGGTCGATGAGCATCAGGAGATCTGAGCGGCCTCCCTCAGCTCCACCGGAGCCCTCCCCCTCTCCCCCCCCAGCTGGAGCAGCTGGGCCCCCACAGAGTCTACACCATGTGGGCTGGGGTGGACACGGGGGCAGTAAGTTCCAGAGCCAAGGACCCCTCAGGGAGAATGCCCTGGCCCCATCCCCTTGGGGAGCGCCCACTCCAGCGCCTCAGCTGAGCTTATCCACCCCAGGGTCTCCTGGGAGAGACGGCCCCTTGGCAGCGACCGAGGCCTAACCCAGACAGGGATTACAGGTGAAAAGCAACTCCCTGGATCGCAGCAAAGACTAACAGGTCAGAGCCCGGAGCCCAGGGGCACGGAGCCGCATGCTGCTCCAGGCAGGAGCCGGGTCAGAGCCCGCAGCACAGGGGCACGCAGCTAGATGTATGCAATGCTGCAGACAGGAGGGATTGGGTAGTTTTAATCTCCCAACTGGCCATAAAGGGGGAAAGCTCAGGGGGGGGCAGGGAGGAGCTGGAGAGTGGGGGCGAGGTGCCCCTCGCTCTGGGGCAGGGCTCGGCGCTCCGGGAGGGGCAGCAGAGATGGATAATGACACCTGGACGATGCCCCCTGACGCTCCCTCCCTCTCTCGCTGTCCCTGCCCACTCAGACTGTGCCCCAGGCTGAGACGCCCTCCAGAGGCTGCCCAGCGAGTCACTTGCCCCAGTACCTGGTACCCGACGATCGCCCCTTTGCAGGGCGGCAGCGGCTTCCACTTGAGGGTTTTGGTGCTGGGATCCAGCGGCTCGATCTCGGGTTGGTCTGGGGCTGAAAGCGAAGGAATCGCAGGTCACTGACCGGGCCCGGGGACGAGTCCCCGTGTGCAGAGCACTGGGAGGGGGCTCCCGGCACAGGGGTCAGCGCTCTGGGCGGTCCCTGCAGCAGGAGGGCGAGGGCTAGGCCCTGCCACCTCTCCTGGGCGGTGCTGCCTGGCTGGGCACGAGGAGCTGGCAGCGTCCTACAGCTCCTCCCCGGCAGCCCCCGGCAGCAGAGACACAGAGCTCCTGTCCCTGCTCTGGCTGCACGAGGGGCTCAGACACCACCGTGAGGGGCTTGGTACCGGGACTGGACTGATGGACGGATTGCTGGGAAGGTGGGCAGCCGACCAGCTGGGCTAGGACAGCTAGTGGGTCCTCTGCCAACCGTCCCACTCCTGGGCCTTCAGCGTCCCGAACTCCCCATGGGATCCACCCCCAACCCCACCCCCGAGCCTCAGGTTCCAGGCTCACCCCACAGGCCTGTCTGGGGAGATGGGGTTGGGGGACTCTGTTTGTTCTGGGGAGCCCCACACCCCTTTCTCCTGAGCCCCCCCTTCTGCCCCCAGGCAGGGCCCCGATCACCAGCTAAGCCTGGTCACTTGCTCGGACAGGCGGGTTGAGTTGCAGAGCGTGCCCCCATGCTCAGCACCGAGCCCAGGATTCACAGCCACGGGGTGACTCCCCCCTCCCCTACCTGCTTCACTCGTGGTGACCCGCCGGGTGTAAAGGACAGTGCTGGGTGGTCTGGTCCCTGGGTAGCCCCCAGAGATGGTGACTCTGTAGGAGGTGAAGGGGT